ATGACTATCAATTATTTTTCTTGCAAGAGTAGACCTGATGTCTTGCATGTCTAGTCGTTGTTGCTGTGCAACAATTCTCGAGAAAACTATATGTTTGCACAGAGAACCACATCTGGATGTTCTGCAGTCACATTTGACCATGACCAAATCAACTGTGTGAGACTGAGTGCTAGTATCTGGTGGAATAATGCATGTTCCGTTTTCATTCATTTTACATTTTGAATCCAGCCCCTTCTCAATCATAGACTTGACAGCATCAGAGAAGTCATCATCGTTGTTTCCCTTGATGCGCCCACTTGCTGCCAGCTCTTCTATGTAACTGAAAATCACACAATCATTCATTAGAAATGTAAATTTGTAGTGGCAGGAAATTATTGAAAATGTAAAAAATTTTATATATATATATTTAAAGTAGAGTAAAACAATTTTAATAGTAACAGTACTGAAGATAACAGTAGATATTACAATTAACATTTACCAGTAATATTTGTGGACATCACCACACAGCAGGCTAAGGAGCTGGTCAATTCACCTGTTAGTGTTCCCCTTCAGGAACTGATACTTCATTGTGTGGAAGAATCTATGTAAGAAAACTGATATTTCATTGTGTGCAAGAATCTATGTAAGAAAGACAACCAATTTGCCACAGTCAATATATTTAAAACGGTAGTTATGCGTTAAGGTATTTTATGACAAATACTTCTGGGTTTTTCTTTTTGGTTTTAGAGAGAGAGCGACAGAATATTGCTTTACTGCTAGTTTTAAACATGACCTTAACAGGATTAGCACACCAAGAAAATGCTGAATATGAAAAATGTCCTGGCAAAGGAGTCATTGACTATGGAAGTCAATGGGGCTTATCAACTGTCAATGGAGCTAATCGACTGTTTGCTTACCCACATTCTTCAAAATATCTAATGTGTTAAGCAGAAGACAGAAATTCATACAGGTTTGAAACTACTTGAGTAAACAACTTCACTAGTTTTAGGGACAAGAAGAATGCATGTTCATTATTCAAATAAATAGGCCTAAAATCCTGTACCTTTCTGCCTTGTTGTTGGTTTCACTGTTTTCATGATTGAATGATCTTCCAAAATTGGACCACAAGTCCCCCCAAGAAATCCAATGATTCTTCAAATATGTTGACACGTGTACTACCAAGGTAGGAATCCAGCTCTTTGCACTTTATAGAGGAATTTTGGATAAACTCCTCTTCCTGAAGAACAGAAACATTATAAATTC